TCAAGAAAAACGCACAATAATCGCATTTGCATATCAAATTGGCACGCACTGTAGCTCTGCGCTGTTAAGACTCGCAGTGCGAGTCACACCGTGTGTACCATCGGCGTCGGCGCGCATTAGCCCCTGAGAGAGGCGATCTTTCAAATTCGAAGGTTGCATGGTGTTCAGCTGCCGGAACTCAGCATATCTGGCTTGCTCTTATTCAGAGGAGGGCGCACTTTCCGCTGAGCCCTGAGGGCTCAGCGCTGCATAGACTTCATCTCTAACGACGTTCTAATGAGCGATTAAGACAAATTGACACTCTTCGATTCGACAGCACAGAGGGCTGGCGCTTGCCTGCGATTTCGGCGGAAGCTCGTCAAATTCACGGGAATTCACTTGGAGGATGGGGACCTCTGCTCAGCGACAGGGATAGTTCCTTCAGTACTGATTGAGACTCTCAATTTGAGAGAGACTACCGTTGAAGCTTCTCCTCCCAGCCACGATCGCTAATATGTCGCCACCACCGAGATGGAGCTTGATGCTTCGAGCTTTCAACGGGAGGTGTCTGGGAACTCAGGAACGGCACCTAGCCGTGGGGTGAAGAGCGGAAGACGCTGTTGATAGTGCATCACGAGCGAAACAAGGGACTTCCTGAATTCGTTGCTGAATCTCATCCGCGACTTCGGGAAAGCCAAGAACATGCCGTATAGCACCGTTTGGGCCACAGAGTAGTAGAACCTCTAGATGACAGCAGTCCTGATTCAGGCGGTCTGAAAAGTAGGGAGTTCCCACCTCGAAAAAGAATTCCCGTCGACTGGGCTTGATATTGTCCAATAGCCGCACGTAGTTCCGGAGCCTCATCCTTCGCTGGTGCCCGGTTGTGGCTCTGTAAGATATCATACGCCTGGTAAATATCCTTCATGGCAACGTCCAAAGTTAATGCCTCGTCGAGCTCTTCCCAATGGGTGACGTTGGACTCGAGATAGACTGTATCATTCTCGAAGGTGTTAATTCCCAAGAGCTTCACAATCTGTTTGTGATCCTTGTCAAGATAGAGAACCCAAGCGTTAGTGATCACACCAGTCTGAGCGAGGGCAGTGAAGTTGAGACCCGATTTGGGATCGACACCTTCTACTCCACTTGTGACCCATTTGTTCAGCTTCTGTCCACCTTCATCTACCAAACCTTTATAGACCCAACCATCATCCTCAAGCGTAA